AAGAGATGAGAGTGGAGAGGAGGGGAGATTGGTTCAAATGATTTTAGGGTTTGATTGGGTTTAAATGATTTTATTGTATATAGATATAAAAATAAAAATAAAAAATATTTTTAAATTATTAAATAAACCTGATTTTTGAAATATTGAACTTGTTATTGGATTTTTGAAATTGAAAATCTATTTCTAGGTGTGGGTGTAATTTCCTCTTATTATTTTTGCAATTAATGTAATGTTTACCGGGCCTATTAAGTGAGCATGGCCATGCTGGGCTGATGCCGGGCCATAATATTGACAAAATTCAGACAGTGGCCGAATTTTGGGCCCACTGTTAAGGAACAAGCCCAGTTTTAAACTTTTTATTCAAATGTTAGGTGATATTTCAAATTTTTAATATTAATAATTATATTATAAAATTAAATTAATATACATACCCATCCAACCACCTTAGGTTCTGAGTGGTGTCCTCTACCTAATACATAATTCCGCCCCCACCTAAAACCCTAATAATCTCTCTCTCTCTCTCCTTCTCTCTCTCTCTAGGAGACCATCGTAGTGGAGCTGACAGCATTGAGCGCCGCTCCGACAATGATGCTGTTGTGGTGGCATATGCGTCGCTAAAGCAACGATGATGCCATCACTATGGACGGCGTGAGCTCTGCTGCTGCATTAGCGAATTATGCAATTTGGGGAAATTTTGGCAAATTGGGTCGTGATTTGGCGTTGGTGTTTTTGGGGTGATTTTTGTTGGTGGTTGGTGGTGGTGGCAGGATGTGAAGAAAAGTGTTTGTGATCAATTATTTGAGTAATTGTGACCAACAAATAATATGCGATCGATGAAATAAATGATTTATAACCAATAAATAATACGCGACCTAAAAAAATGAGATTGCTACTAATTTGATAATTTTTTATCAATAAATAAATTGTAATTTATAAAATTTGTGAGTTATAACTATGACGTTCTGTACATAAATGTGATAATAAACTATACAGTATTGTGATTTTAATTTAATTATGAAAACTTTAAAAAACTTTCTTAATTTTGAAAATCCAACTTAACTATGTAATCTTGGGAAGAATACATAAATCATGCTTTTACTTTTA